ATACAAGCTTCATGTCATGTACTATTTTTACAAGTGATCAATAATGATTTTGTAAATATTTAGCTTATTGCTTCCTCAATCAGTGCCTTGGGTTTAAATAGACCTTCACATAATCCTTGTCTGAATCCTTTTACTGTGGGGCAATCTTTATCTGAGGGGACCTCAAGTTTTTCCACAGCATATGGCCACTATATTGCTATATGCTATATGGCCCTGTGTTCATCCCCACTTGCTACATTAGCCTCACAGTGCAAAACTAAAGAAGCAATCTTCAGACACCAAAAATATTAACAGACCAAAAGCACTCAAACCAGCTGAGCAACAGTGAGAGAGGCATCGCTGGACGAGAAAGCTCACATTCAACTGTTTGTCTTATCACACAAGTATGACAAAAATGAAGGTACTTGCAAAGCACACGTACACACAGACAGACATTCTTCTTTTTGCCTTTATCCCCTTAAACCTGACTCCACCTGGTACCAGGCCTACCTCCCTTTTAGTTTATGAATGTTTTCTTTATTAATGATTTCTGCACAGATGAACCCCATCCAAACAGCATTACATCAAACCTGTGGAAGCTGATTTAGTAAGAAGAGCAGTTTGGGCTGCGTTTTTAACTTTAAAGATTACATATGCAGTCAATTCTAACTGCTAGATTTGCCTTAAAGCTTGTTGTCCCATTTTAGCAAACAGCAGTAAAGGAATTCATCACTTCATCTTCTGATTGCTGGCCACACAATGACCTTCAATTCTGAGCTACTATTGCTTAAAGTCTCTATACATCACTGATCATCATCTGACACGCTGAATTCACTTCAGTTCAAAATGAATAAAAAGAAATGAGCAATGATTAAAAAAATCGGACATGAATAAAAGAAGATAAGGAAAACAAGCTAGGTAATAATCAATAGATTAAATAAGATCCACTTAAGCTCGAGAAGTTTTATTCTATTTATTACTATAAATATATTTATAACATTATTATTATTATTATTATTATTATTATTATTATTATTATTATTATTAACCTACTTATACTTACAAGCTCTACAACAACCAATACAACTAATTATAATAACTACTACAACTATTAAAACTACAACTCTTACAACAACTAGTATTACTGTTAGAATTACACCTACAACATTTGACAACTACTACAACAACTACACTTACCCAGCAGTTTATTGGGAACACTTACACACCTACTCATTTATGCAATTACCTAATGAGCCAATCGTGTGGCAGCAGTGGTGCATAAAGTCATGCAAATATCGGCCAGCAGCTTCAGGTAATCAACCATTGGTACTGGCATGATTGTTGGTGCCAGTCTCTAGAGTTTACTCAGAATGGTGCAATGAAGAAAAAAAAACTTCCAGTGAGCAGCAGTTCTGTGGATAGAAACATTGTGTTGACGAGTGAGGTCAGTGAAGAATGGCCAGACTTATTTGAGCTGACAGAAAGGCTAAAGTAACTCAGATAACCACTCTGTACAACTGTAATAGCAGAAGAACATTCCAGAAGGCACAACACAGGCTCACTGCCCCCTAGTGTGTGTGCATTCACTAGAGTGTATGTGGTGTTTACTGCACAGATGGGTTAAATGCAGAGGTGAAATTCCCCCGTTGTGGGACTAATAAGTCCATATCGGGTTCCACTTCTGTCAGCCAAGAACAGAAAACTGAAGCCGCAGTGGGTGCGGGCTCACCAAAACTGAACAGTTGAAGACTGGTCTGCAAATCTCGATTTCTGCTGAGGCAAACAGATGATAAGGTCAGAATTTGGAGCCAACGGCCTCAATCCTTGGATCTAACCTACCTTGTGTCAACAGTCTAGGCAGATGGAGGTGGTGTAATGGTGTTAGGAATGTTTCCTTGGCACTTTTTGGTCTTGTTATTACCAATCAGTTTTGAATTGAAGCTGTTTCGAGAGCAAAGTGAGGCTCTACCCAGTATTGGTAAAGTGTTCCTAATAAAGTGCTCAGTGAGTGTATAACAACTGCAATAACTACCACATCTAGTATAAGTAGTAATACATATATATATATATATATATATATATATATATATATATATATATATATATATAAATATATATATATGTATATATACAACATTAATATTATAACTACTGAAACTACAAGTACTACAATTACTATGATTTTTTTTTTTTAATTCCCCAATTTAGTAGTCTCCAATTCTACCTGCTAGTTAGGACTCCCCCAGTCACACGGTACTATCGACGCTAGGAGGGTGAAGGCTACCACAGGCTTTCTCCGAGACCTGTGAAGCCAGCCACCGCATCTTTTCGAACTGCCACTCACGCAACGTCATTGGACAGCCGAATGCGCTCGGAGGAAAGCGCCAACAGCCAGATCTGTTACGTCAGCTAACAGACGCCTGTACTGTACACTGATTTGCAAATCTCATAGACCCATATTTTATTCACAGTAGAACATAGAACACATATCAGATGTTGAAAGTGAGATATTTTACCATTTCATGAAAAATTAATTTAGAACTTGATGGCAGCAACTTAAAAAAGTTGGGACAGGGGCAACAAAAGGCTGGAAAAGTGGTACTAATAAAAAACAGCTGAAGGAGCAATTTGCAACTAACTCACATGACTGGATATAAAAAAGCATTTTAGAGAGGCAGAGTGTCTCAGAAGCAAAGATGGGCAGAGGTTCACCATTCTGTGAAAAACTGCGTCTAAAAATTGTGGAACAATTTCAGAAAATGTTCCTCAACATAAAATTGCGAAGACTTTGGAAATCCCACCATCTACAGTACATAATATAATCAAAAGCTTCAGAGAATCTGAAGAAATACCTGTGTGCAAGGGACAAGGCTGACGGACAAGGCTGACGGGCCCTCAGGCGGAGGGCCCGTCACTGTCTGTGGACACAGTTCGCTGTGCAATCCACAAATGCAAGTTAAAGCTGTATCATGCTAAGAAGAAACCACATATAAACATCTTATATCAACTTCTCTGGGCCCAAGCTCATTTAAAATGGTGGTGTAGTGGAAAAGTGTCCTGTGGTCCAATGAATCAAAATTTGAAATTCATTTTGGAAATAATGGACACAGCATCCTCCAGGCTAACGACCTCCCAGCCAATTAATGCTGAATGAAGTATACAGGTTTTGGCAAAATATGCCCCCATCCAGACAGCGTCTCTTTCAGAGAAGGCCTTGCATGTTTCAGCAAGACATCGCTAAACCACACATCGCATCCATCACAACAGCATGGCTTCACAGAAGAAGAGTCAGGGTGCTGAACTGGCCTGCCTGTAGTCCAGATCTCTCACCAATAGAAAACATTTGGCACATCATGAAATGAAAAATCCGGCAAAGACTACCCAGGACTGTTCAGCAGCTAGAATCTTACATCAGACAAGAATGGGACAACATTCCTCTCCCAAAACTCCAGCAGTCGGTCTACTCAATTCCCAGATGTTTATGACTGTTGTTAAAAGAAGAGGGAATGCTATACAATGGTAGACATGGCCCTGTCCCAACTTTTCTGAGATGTGTTGCTGCCATCAAGTTCTAAATGAGTTAATGTTTTTCATGAAATAATAAAATGTC